CTCCAAAGGTTGTTTCATTTTTCTGAACTTTAAACTTAAAACAGACGTTCCTTTCAAGTACCTAAGAACATGCTTTGCTGCATTTAAAGCTGCTGCCGTAGGTTTTGACATGTGTTGAGATAACTTTGTCACAATGTGGCACAAATCTGGTCTTGTACCTGTCATGACATAAATAAGGCTTCCAACAATCTGCCTATAGGAGTTGGGATCCTCTAAGACAGCTGATTCCATATCAATAACCTTGTCAAATCCAAGAACAGATGGGGTTGTCTTAGGTTTACAATTATTCATTCCAAATTTTTCTAACACCTTTTCAATATAGCGAGTTTGGTTCATCTCTATCATACCATCAGAACATTTGAACTCAGTGCCTAAGAACCAATGTAAGATTCCTAATTAAAATCCTTCATCTTAAACCTTTCACTTAAATTTCCCTTCACCGTTTGTAACAAATCAGAGTTACTTGCAGAAATAAGTAAATCATCTACCCAAATAATCAAGATAATGCACTTACTGGCATCACCATCAACAAACTTGTGGTAGACACAAGGGTCAGCCTGGGATTGCATAAACCCTTCCTTCACCAAGTAGTTATGAAGTGTTGCATTCCAGTTCCTACCACTCTGTTTGAGACCGTACAGAGACTTATTGAGTTTGCAAACAAGTTTCTTACCATTTCCCCCCACTTTTTCGTAGCCCTTAGGTTGTTCAACAAAGATGTCACAATCAATGGGGGCATTTAGATATGCTGCCTTAACATCCATCTGATGGACAATCATATCGTTTTGCACCGCGTGCTGCATTAATACTCGAATTGAGCTCATCCGAGCTGTTGGTGCAAATGTTTCATGGTAGTCCACACCTGGGACTTGGGAATAGCCTTTCGCTACGTACCTTAAATATTGGTGAGAATCTAGCCTCAGAGATACCCATTTCTAACGTCAACCCTGAAGACTATTTAGAATCAACTGAGCAGAGATTTTCCATTAGACCTCCTACGGTTGATATGGTTTATATTCTGTTGAGTAAAATTAACGAACGAAAAGCTCCAGGTCTCGACAACATTCCTAATAAGCTGTTAAAAATAGCAGCTGCAATAATCTCACCATCATTAACTGATATATTTGCCAGATCAATTAACACTGGCATATTTCCATCCGAGTGGAAAATGGCTAGAGTAACACCAATATTTAAGAAAGGAAAAAGGAATGATCCGAATAACTATCGACCAATATCAGTTATTTCAGCTGTAGCCAAAATCTTCGAAAAATTAATCTTTGAGCAACTTTATAATTACTTCAGTTTTAACAGCTTGTTAACGCATTGCCAGTCCGGTTTCAGGTCGTTACATAGTACACTTACTGCTCTTCTTGAAGCCACTAGTAACTGGTCAGTTAATATTGACAATGGCCTCTTCAATGGAGTAATATTTATCGACCTTAAAAAAGCATTCGATACTATTGATCATCAGATATTGCTGCGGAAGCTTCGAATTTACGGTATGGATCAATTAATTCTCGAATGGTTTCAGTCTTATTTGACCGGTCGATCTCAGAAATGTAATGTTAGAGGTTGCTTGTCATCATCTGCATCAGTTACACGTGGTGTACCACAGGGAAGTAACTTAGGACCATTACTCTTCCTTGTGTATATTAACGACCTTCCTAATTGTCTCAGTGCAGCAGTACCGAGAATGTTTGCTGATGATACGAACATTAGTTATGCGGCCAACACTATCGCTGAACTAGAAAATGTTATTAATTCGGAATTAAAAAAATTGAAAAGCTGGTTGGAAGCGAACAAATTAAGCCTTAATATCGCCAAGACAGAATTTATGATAATAGGATCTCGACAACGTATGCATGCGCACACTAACAAAAATATCAATATTGACCTGGATGGTCATGTGATTAAACAAGTTGATGAGGCAAAATCACTAGGTGTAATTATTGATAAAAATCTGTCTTGGTCTAAACACATTGATATGAAGTGTAAAAAGATTTCTTCCGCTATAGGTGCTCTTAAGCGAATAAAACCATTTATATCAACTGAAACAGCAATCCAAATTTACAACGCTATAATTCAACCTCACTTTGATTACTGTAGTCCCATTTGGGACGAATTTGGCGCAACATTATGTGAAAAAATGCAAAAATTGCAGAATAGAGCTTCTAGAGTGATTACGAAATCCAACTACGATGTCAGCTCTAGCATTCTCTTAGAGAAACTGCATTGGGACAATCTTTCCTTACGTAGGAAAAAGCACAAGTCTATACTAATGTTTAAAACCATCAATAAGCTAACGCCAGAGTATTTACAAAACATGTTTACATTTCGCAGCACAGATTATAACTTAAGAAATGCAGAAATGAAGCTAAATTTACCAAAACCACGTACGGACTTTATGAAGCGTAGTTTCTGCTACAGTGGAGCAAGTTTATGGAATGCGCTTCCTCAAACTACACGTACGTCCAAATCATTGAGGCATTTCAAAAATGAAATTAATCAATTCTTGACATTATAATGGGATCCCCACACGGCAATCTTGGAAAACAGTGCATTTTAGTTAGGAAATTAGTGTGTATATAGTAATGTGTGAAATTTATTAATAGTTTTTGTATTTTATTCTACACTGAAGATTTTACCGTGTTTAAATAAATGTTCAATGTTCAATGTTCAATGTTCAAACCTAGCCTTATATGTCTCCTCGTCGTTAGGCATTACCAGAAATGTGGGACATTTTGCGTCCGCAATTGTAACCAGCGGTTTTACGCATAAATGATGATTCATCAAAAAATACAAACAAAATGGCGGCTCATAGTCTTCAAAGAAAAATCGTGTTGTTAATATATTGAAGACGAAACTCAGTGCTGATGGCTAAATTCTATTTTATTTTACTGCGATTAACTAATGTAAGATTGTCTGACATTTTTACAACAGCAGAACCACTATTTGTGGCACGATCGAAGAAGTATTTTCCGGATTTGACGCGTTTACGCACGTATAATAAATGTATTTAGCTAAGAAATGTGCATAAATTTGCGTGATGGGCAGGGTAAGGGACTGGGAAGAGCATAATTAATTTGAAAACAAATTTGGCGGAGACGAAACGCAATGTATGAAAATTTTATCGTAGTTGTGCTGACAAAAATGGCCTCTTGTGGCATGTGTGGATGAATAAAATGGCTAAGTTTAGAGGATTTTGGAAGTAGTTTCCTGCGGAATTTAGATACTTTTGTTGGCTAATATATAAACTTTGAATGTTATTGAAACAATTCCGATGCCAAGCTCAAGATTTCGCTGGATATATTTCCGTACACCAGGCTGCGTTTGTGGCGTGTATTGTCAGATTCACATGCAATATAAGGAGTCATTATGCTGGTGAACGTGATATCAATAGTGATCTCGGGAAGTAAGTGTATTTTATTCCAGAAATAGTTGTTAGAATTAAAAGATTCCTGAATCAGCATAGCATGTGAAACGATGCCAAGTAAGCGTGATTTGCGGCTCATTCATGCGATTTTTGAGAAAGTTCTTATATGCCTATACTAATCCCAGCATTATCGGACGCCATTTTGTTGCGTAATTTTTTGTCATGTCCACCATCTTGACCCACATTTCTGGTAATGGACCTGATTTAATTGTGTACACCCATTTTCCACCTACTATCTCGCGGTTGGGTGGAACCATGGTAAGTGTAAATGTTTCATTACTTACCAGAGAGTCAAATTCTTCATCCATTGCCTTTTTCCACCGAGCTGAATCTGGTGAATTTACTGCTTGTGAATAACAAGCTGGGATGTCATTCATCCTATAGCAATAATCTATTGCAATATTAGCGCTACTATCAGTGATACTTTTTACAACATACTCACTTAGGTAAGCGGGTTTATTGTGAGTCCTGGTAGGGTACCTTACTCTACTTACTTCACCCTCTGCTGGTGGAATAGCTGGTTCAATGTTCTCATCAGCTCCAGTTTGTTGCTCACCGTAAGAAGTGTTGCGGGGAAGTGAGACAACCTCTTCGTCAATTTGATGGTTCTCGTTATCAAATTCAGTTGAATCAAAGAATTTAACACATCTCACTCATTCAACTTTCATGCTTTCTGGATAGTACACCAAATATGCAGGGCTATTTTTGTCATACCCTACAAAAATCCCCTCCTTACTTCTAGGTTCAAGCTTCTTAGAACCTTGCACATATGCATAGCATACTGACCAAATACGTGCATATTATTCAGATTTGGCTTTATGCCAGTTAAGGCTTCATATGGGGTTTTGCCCAATCTGTCATTGAAGCACCTATTCCTTATATATGCTGAAGCCATCACAGCATATGTCCATAACATTTTGGGTAACTTGGCTTCTAACAACAAACACCTTGCCATATTAAATAAGCTAAGCCAAGCTCTTTCTGCTGTGCCATTTTGATGGGGTGAATATGGGGCACGCGTTTCATGTTTAATTGTGTTCTCTCGGAGTAGAGACTTAAACTTTTGCCCAATAAATTCCCCACCATTATCACTTCTGATACATTTCACTTTACCAAGAGGGGCAATATCTGCTAAAAATTGTTTAGTAGCTTCGACTGTATCAGATTTATGCTTTAAAAAATATATCATGATAACACCAGAGTAATCATCCACAAAAGACAATGCATAATTGAAACCATCCTTACCACCTGGAGTAATTGGTCCAGCTAAATCTGAATGAACTAAATCAAATGGGGCATTGGCTCTCTTATCAGGTGTCCTATTTCTCGACTGGGTCATCTTACCTTGTGTGCATGTTTTACATTCCACTTCCTTATGACTAGTGATCTTCATTCCATCTACAACATTTTCAAGCTTACGAATATCTGAAAAATTACAGTGCCCTAGAATTCTATGCCACCCTAAAATTGTACCCGCATTATTCTTGGAAGATGAAATACCGTTTAGGTAATATAAACGACCTACCTGTTCAATATTAAAAACTGCACCATCCGAGCTCTTAAAACTCTTGCTATGCTTATCTAGGCTTATGCTTGCGCCCCCTTCTGTTGCTGCATTGACTGAAAAGATATCCTGCTGATACGATGGGACATAAAGCGCATTATTTAAAATTAGATCATGAGAACTTCCGTTTACGTCATATAGCTTAACCTTCGCAACGCCCTTACCTGTCACAACCTTAGCCTTACTGCCATCTGCCATCTCTATAATGTGCGCATTTGGGTCGAAAGAAATTCCTGTTTCCAGCAGTCTTTCTCTACTGGGAAAAATATCAAAAGGCTTTGCTGGATAAAATCAAGGGTTTGACAGGTGCTGTTGAATGATCGGGAGAGGGCCGATTCGACTCAATGGGGCACAATGCAAAATATGGAGTATATACCATGTTTTGTAATTCAATTTCAAAGTTGGTGCACTTTGAGTTATTGCAGGTATAATCTCAGATTGCAGTATACTATAGTCACCTGATTATGCAAAATATATTGTCTATTGCAAAAAGCATTATTTTTATACACTAGCTCTCAAATAGTAAAACATCTTTTTAAAAGCAATGCTAAATATAACTATGTTTTCTTATCTGCAAAAGGCAAATCAAACAGGGAACAGTAACGCGATGGAACTGGCTGGGGCTAAATCCTGTTTCAAGTATCTCCAAAATCTGGGCATAAAAGTTTCCACGTTTGTAAGCGACAGGGATGAGGGCATCGCAAAATGGATACGTGAAAGCCAACCTGACACTCGCCATTTCAATGACCTATGGCATGTCGTGAAAGGAATCACAAAGAAACTAATAAAAGCTGGAAAAGAGAAAGGAAATGAAAAGTTGCTGGTGTGGGTGAAAGCTATCCGTACTCATTTGTACTGGTGTGCCCTCCCTACAAAGCAAGGTTTTGGTGACCTGATTATAGCAAAATGGAAGTCTGTGATCAGACATATTGCAAATCTCCATACCAACCATCCAGATTCCCTTTATGCTAATTGTCCTCATGGGCCACTTGAACCACGTGACTGGATTAAACAAGGTGATCATGTAACTGTAGATAATAACTCATTATTTTGCAGCAGTTCATTTGATGAGTAAAATTCAGTGAGATATCCAGCTTTATCTGGTAGGAGGCTGCAGTCAAAATATGGTAGAGTAGTAGTTCTGTTGAGGGAGCTATAGCTCAAAGTCCCTAAGTAAACTTGTGTTGGAGGTAGGGGGTAAAGCCAGTCAAAAAGTTTTCAATAATTTGTTTATTTTGTAATAGTGGTAACATTTTACTGTATTTTTTACATGTAGGTACTCAGGCCCATGAAAGAGTGTGTGGGATCCTTTTGAAAACAAGAACAATCAAGGATATCAAGATGGTTTCTTCTGATGCCCAAACTAGCTGCCTGGAGGGATTTCACTCGACCCTAAACCATTGGCATCCCAAAATGACTCACTATTCATGGCTTGGAACATATTGCAGGTATTAATCATGTAGAATATCTCACAGTTGTACAAGATATAGGAGGTGGATTCATATAAGGTGCACAAAGTTAATTTCGAATCCTGCCTTTAATGATGGAAAACCTTCAGATAATACGAAAAAAGGTTCGTTGAATTTTTTTGAAGTTTCAGTAGCCCAGTAATAAACACATTTTCTATCTTTAGGCACATCTTAGCCATCATGCACTTTAATGAAAATGTGCAGCGAGAGAAACGCCAAACCAAGGCTGGAACAGTCTACTACAATGTTATTTACCCAAAATACAAGTTTGGTGAAGAGGTTGTTCGGGAGATTGCTGTACCACCTACATATGGTAAGTTAAATAAAACTAAAATGGTTCATGAGTTTAATGAGTCAATGAAAATGTTGTTCTTCAATGAAAATGCTGTTCTGCACACCTACCTGTCTAATCCCATACAGGGCCATGCCATCTGGGGGGGTGGGGTGTAACACCCCCAAAAGGTGAAAAAAGGGGTGCAACTTGCGGGGAAGGGGGCCCTGGCATGCTGGAATTGAAGGATTTGTTCGCTAAATTATGGAAATTTCTGGGAAATGTTGTTTTGCGAAATATTTTGGGAACTTTTGTTTTCGAAAACATAACGTTGACCCCCCCCCCCAATCCCCCTCGCCCTCCCCTCCCCTGCGCCAACATTCTCCGGAAATTTTTTTGCTTTCCCCAAATTTTGATCAAATAATCAATTTCATAGTATCAATTCTATACATTAAATTTTATTATAGAAGCTGAACAAAGTTCATTGCTTGAAAGTACAATTGCAGCTGCTGCAGCTGAGCAACAGGATTAGCAAAGATCTGTAAGGCGATGTCGGAAATGTAAAAAGCCCATGAAAGGACATCGCAGGGGGCAGTGTTCCTGATAAAAGTGTCAGGATCCACTGATGTTTGGTGGGGATGCACTTGCGCTGTACTGTAACTCAGTTCCAGCTGCATCTAGCTTAATAGTCGGAACCATAACCATCAGCGTTGTTAAAGTTCTTATTACAAAAGATCTTTTGCGTTTAATGTACAGACCACATTTATTTAAGGCTTTTTTTAATGTTTTAATTACAACAACAAACGATTTTGGATATTTACCCCCATATTCAGGTAGGTATAATTTTAAGCCAAACTTAATTTAGTTTAAATTCAAATTGTATAATCATAAGTAGTATAGGAACTGCCGCTTCTAGACCACTAGTTTTTTCTAGACCACCAGTTTTTTTTAGACCACCAGCTTTTTTTTCTAGATCACCAGCTTTTTTTTCTAGACCACTAGTTTTTTACCTTTAGTGGGAATTATTTATTTTTGTTATATTAAAATTAATGGTCCCGCACCTCAACGAGTGGGTTCCCGAGACTTCAGCAGTTCCATGGTCCATTTAATTGGAATGTGAAACTGCTATTCATTTAACTTATCTCAAAGCTTCGGGATCACCTTACCAGTCCAGCTGAGACTCTAATACGATTATCCTAAGTGCAATCCTACACTTTTCTAATATCGTCCGATTCCTCTATTCCAGAGCCTTTTCGACAACTTTTATTTTCTCCTTGGGGGTACACAAGGGGGTGTGCCTTTGTAGTCCGGATACACTGTTGGTGTCATCCTTTTTACCCTGTGTGGTCACCTCAACCTTAATAGCATTGGATACAGAGAAATTTATGTCACCAGCCTTCCCATTTTTGTTAGACCTCCTACGACAGCCACAGATATTACCCAAACAGGAGAAGCATGAGCGCCACTTTGACATGATACTTTATGATACAACATATGTTATACACCGGACTCTGAATATCGAAGTGACCAGCAAAAAGACAAGTCCATACTAGAACCAGTTGGCATTGAGTGTTCTGGTTTAACTATAATACACCAGGCTAGCGTGTTATCTACCAACTCAGCTTGGTTTCCTAAATAGAACATGCTATTACCCTTGAATACGTAGCAAGCTGTACTTCCGCCGTTACTTGTGAAGGTTCCATTGAACCAAGTGTGTGATAGTCTTCTTAAGTCTATTGTTCTGAGAACGATTTCCTTCTTGACTTGTGTAAATTTTCCATTAGACTGCTTTTCCCATACAGTAGCCCACAGGATGAGTCCTAAGGGTATATTTAAAACAGTTGAAAAAGTTGGGAAATCTGATTTAATAGTAATTGACTCAAGGTTGAGGTCTGTCATATTATTAATAGTATCTGTTCTCCATGAAGGTGAATCTGATCTTGACAGTAAGCATAGTACCTTGTTGCTGCAACTGATACACCACGATATCCCCAAATCCACTCTGCGTAGATGTGACGGTTTATTCTTACGTATCTCTTATCAGCCACTGCTTGTACAAGACCTGAGGAAGGTTTTAGGAAATTCTTTTCTACCCATTGCTTGTTAACTGCATCCTTATCATTTACCGGATCCCTTAGATCAAGAATACCACTTGAGTCTCCCATATCCAAATCTCCCTTTACCAGTCCACCTCTACTACTCATGAACTCATCAGTTGCCCATTTCTTATTTACAGCAGAACCATTCGTAGTAGGATCACCTACCCTAGTTAACTCGTAGTCGTTAATATCAAGATTGCTTGCTAGGGTACCACCATTACGCTTCAGGAACTGTTTACACCAGGAGTATATAGTATTAGCGGAAAGTGCACTGGTATCCCCAACCGACCCACCTTTGAGACCCGTAATACTATAACCTCCCATGTCAATATTACCTGTCATAGTGAAGCCGCTACTACTAATTGAACTTCCACTAACATGATCAGTGACCCACTTTTTAGATACAGCAGAATTATCAGTTGTAGGAGCACCTAATTTTATTATTTCGTTGTTTCCCATGTCAAGGTCGTCAGATAGTGTAAGACCACTATAAGTCTCACGCTTACTTCTACCAGCACTAATCTTATCTTCGACCCACTTTTTCGTAACAAGTGAATTTAAACTGTCAGGAGTTGCACTGGAATATACCTGGAAATTGTTTGCGTTCATGTTACCGGTTAGGGAAGCGCCATTTTTTTTAAGATACAGTCCATCACTAATAGAACGCTCACCTCGTAAAGTTGATACTATATATTTATAGTTAACAGCTGATGAATCACTAAGAGAAGACCCAACACCATCTATTGTATTTCCACCCATGTGGAGAGTTCCTGTCATTGTGAACCCTGAGGATTTAGCGTACGTAGAATCTAGCGCAGATATTTTATCTTCAATCCACTTTTTTGGTACAGCATCACTATCAAGTTTGGGGTTAATAATATCAAACAGTCTCCAGCCTCCCATAGACACATCTCCTTGCATTATTCCACCTTTTTTAACAAAGTTATTATCAACTCAGAGGGATCCTTAAGATTTTTAATCTCATGGTTCTTCATGTCAATGTCACCAGCAATATTAAGTGGTTTATTTAACATTCCAACAACCCAGTCCTTATTAACGGCAGACTTTCCAGTTGTAGGATCACCCAGAGCCTTTATCTCATTTGTTGACATATTAAGATCATTCGTAAGGATAAGACCGGATAAACTTACATGTATATGTCTACGACTACCTTCAACCCAACTCTTACTAGCAGCATCACCTGGATTAGTAGGATTATCAAGATTAGTTATCTTATTACCTCCCATGTCAATATCCCCAGTCATTGTAAACCCTGCTGGTTGAATTGTACCTGCAGCTTGTTTAACGATCTCATCATCCACCCACTTCTTTGTGACTGCAGACGTATCATCTGTAGGTGCACCTAAACCCATTACTTCATTACCGTCCATCTCAATGTCACCCTTCATGGTAAATCCATCCTTATCAAACACACTACCACTTGATGGGTCAACTTTATTTACTCCTTTGTTGTATCCCCTATAGAGAGCCATTTTATGACATACATAATGTTTACAAAAACATTTTCATTATAATAAATACAACTGTAGCACCAATTCCAGCCCCAGCAATAGCGCTAACTTCCGAAGACTTAAGTCTAGGACCTGTATATGAGTTTGTATGCGATTCATTTAGGACAGGTAATCTCAACTGTTTTAGGGTAAAATGACCATGGCGGTCAACATGGCATATGTGCCAAAAGCTGAATCCGGGACGAAAGTCCTGAAAATGACCCCGCCCTGAAACGGCAGTGTCGACATAGCTCTAACTTCCGAAAAGGAAAAGCGATAGCCTTTCTGAAGTGCTTATAGTGTTTAGAAGGGTTGCTTTTAGGGGTGGTCATTGGAAGGAAAAATTTGTCGAAGTATAATATTTTACCAGAAAATGACTATGCACCAACCCAGGTAAATTGCTGATTATGCACAAAATAACTAATATGCCTGGCAGAAATGAAATATTCTTATTTCCTAAAAAAAATTATCATGGGGTGAAAAACTATGCTTAATTTAATATAAATATTGTTGATTTCATAAGGATTGTCATTGTTTTCTTTAAATATAATACATTTTATTTCACTTACCCCCCACGAAAACACGATTTCAGCCATATTTTGCCGTCTTGTTTGCTTTTTATCGCCGAATCTCGCAAATATCATCCAGTTATTGTACTTTTACATAATCATAAATGGCTGAAGAAGATTTCAAAGAAGGTTTCATCCACTTTTGTAACAGTGCAG